TTTTTTTTTTTTTTTGATGCAGTGAAGGAGAGCATTCCAAAACTTTACATAGAATAATCCAGAAAAATATTCCATATTTTATGTTGTCCTAGTTTCTCTCATTTCATTCACATTTTACTTTCTACAAGTCCTAAGATTAGTATAACTATTTTTTTTTAATTACCAATTTTAGAAATGAGTAACCTAAGCAAACAACTTATATGGGTAGTTTACTAAATTTGTTTATTTTACACTTCCAATTTGTAAATGTGTCTAACTATAATAATAATGATTTATATAGCCATTGACTATGTTTTGCCTCTTAAAAACTGAATACTAATTGGGAATAGATTTTGATTTGTATACCAATTAATTTAGTTAACTCCCTATGTATAAGTGTAAGGCAAAGCAAATGTTTACTAATTTATTAGACATACCAAAGAAACAACAATTGAAAGTTAACCATAATTCTTGTTATCAAGAGGGCTAGTCATTAAATTTTGAAAAAGTGTTGCATTGATATGTTGTACACTGTGTTCATTTTTATTATTTAATGAACTCCAGAATTTAGATTATGAAAATAAAATACTGTACACTTTAAGAGTGGATGCAAGTAACACTCATCCTGACCCACGATTCTTACACCTGGGACCTTTCAAAGACACGGCGTTGGTCAAAATAACTGTGGAAGACATAGATGAGCCTCCTGTATTCAGCAAAATGTCTTACTTGATGGAAGTGGATGAAGACGTGAAGGAAGGCAGCATCATTGGCCAGGTGGCAGCATATGACCCAGATGCCGTGAACAATTTAATACAGTAAGTATTTTGAGAATACTCATGCTTTCAGAAGAATAGTAATTGTCTCACTTATTTGCAAACTATGTAAAAATAAATTGCATAGTTTACAACAAGCCCCGTCACAATACAAACATTTCCCATGGCACAAAGTGCTTGCTTGACTATCTTCTAAATTCTCTTCATATATCGTTGACTCTGACTCTTACCTTGTACAAAGTAGATCTTATTACAATTTCTTTCTACTGATGATAAAACGAAGACACTTAGCTTTTACATGACTTCTCCAATAATTATCCAGTGACAATAACTAGGCTTTCTGACACCATAGTCCGTGCCTTTAATCCCTTTGCTACTGATAGTATTCACATTTGATTGTCCCTCTTGTTTAAAATAAAGTTTAAACAATCAATGATCTAAACAAATGAAATGAAAAAAAAAAAAAATTCAGTAATGGTAGCAGGGTAGTGTCCAGTTCTTCTAGTTTCATGGTAAAGGAGCAGCTGTTCATGGAGACGGCCAGACACACAGTCAATTTCCTCTTCTGATTCTTGACTCTTCTTCTTTCTCTGTTGCTTCAGATTAATCAGAACGATTGTTGTACCTTGAGTAGCTGCTTGCTAGCTTTTAAGACCACAGTCACTACACAAGGAACTAGAGGGTGGAACAGAAATACTGAGAGATGTTATTAGGCCAATTGATTGGGATGTTGCTCAAAACCATTACGTAAACCTCCAAACCAAGAAAGCAAATTCCATGAGGTGATTTGTTGTACATAGCTGCATAAGCAGTCTCAACAGTTTTCTTTTTCTTTTTTGAAACATATAACACAGTGTTTAGGAGCTCTGGTAACATTGCCTAAGACTGCTGACCAGAAGGATGGTGGTTCAAACCCACTAGACACACCTCGGAAGGAAGGTTGGGCAATCTGGTTCTGTAGTGATACTGTCTCAGAAACCCATTGAGGGGTCGCTATGAGTCGGATCCGACTCCATAGCAGTGTGTTGCATTTTGTGTTGACACAATATTTGCTGATTCAACATTTTTCAGGTGTCCAGTTTAGTGATCTAAATTTTATCAATTAGTTGTGCGACCATTATCTTTCCAAACCACACCAAATCCACTGCCATTTACTTGCTGCCAGATTTACCATTATCATAAAGAGAAACTCACTGCTTCCCAAACATTGGCTCAACTTCTCCCCTTGAGTCCCCTCTGGTGACTACTAGTAACCTGAACATTTTAATCAAAAATCTATAGAAAAATCCTGATCAGAACAAGAAAAAATATGAAAGAGAATTTCAAGTTCTCAATGCAATTCAGACTTTCTAGAGACATGGAGGCTGGATGAACCCCCCAAACTATTGTGAGGACATAATCTTTGGACTTGACACCTTAAACCTTAATATCTCCTGAAGTCTTTTTTGAACCAAAAAATGTGTTGTCTCGTTAGATGTCCTCTAGTGGGTTATGACTGATACTGATCCCTTGTACAACAGAACAAAATGCTGCTCAGTCTTGGGCCATCCTCACAGCCCTTACTGTGCTTGAGCCCTGGGCCATCCTCACAGCCCTTACTGTGCTTGAGCCCATCTTTTTGCAGCCACCATTTCAATACATCTTATTTGCAGTCTTCCCCTTTTCACTGATTCTGTACTTTAGCAAGAAGGCCATCCTTCTTCAGGTATTTGTTCCTGCTGAGACCTTGACAAAGTATGAGAGATAAAGTTAGGCCATTCTTGCTTCTAAGGAGCAGTCCAGCTGCACTTTCTACAAGAGATATTTGTTTGTTTTTCTGGCAAAAACCAAACTCACTGCCTTCGAATCAATTCCAAGTCATAATGCCCCCTCCCCATATGGTTTCCAAGGCTATGAATCATTATGATAGAAGACTGCCTCATCTTTCACCCATGGAGCAGCTGGTGGGTTTGAACTATGGACCTTTTGGTTCGCAGCCAAATGCGCTAACCACTGCATCACCAAAACTCTATAGTATTTTAAATATTTTTTGCCAACATAACAATACATAATCATCAATTTTTCTTGGTCTTCCTTCTTCATTTTTCAGCTTTTGCATGCATATGCGCTTGTTGCAAATATCATGGCCTTGGTCACACACATCTTAGTCTTCAAACTGACACCTTTGGCTTGAACAATTTAAAGAAATCCTTTGAAGCACATTTGCCCAATTGCATGGCTTCTTTCCATGGGCACTGATCCAAGTAATATGAAATTCTTGGCAACTTCAATTTTTCTCCATTTACCTTGGTGTTGCTTATTGGTCCAGGTGTGAGAATTTTGGTTTTCTGTAGGTTGAGGTGCAATGCATACTGAAGGCTGCAGATTTGTATCTTCATCAATAAGTATTTCAATTCTTTTTCACTTCCAGAAGCAAGGTTTTGTCACCTTCATATTGCATTTTAATGAACCTCCGATCTTAATGTCATGTTCTTCTTCATATAGTCCAGATTGTCAGATTATCTGCTCAGCAAATGGAATGAAAAGTATAGTGAAAGGATACAATCATAATGCAAACCTTTACTTATTTAAACCAGGCAGAATCCCCTTGTTCTGTTCAAACAGCTCCTTTTCGGTCTAAGTATAGGTTCCTCATAAGCACAATTGTGGAATTCTCATTCTCTGCAATGTTATCCACAATTTCTTATGATCCATACATTCAAGTGTCTTTATATAGTCAAAGAAACACATAGTCAATAAACATCTCTCTGGTATTCTTCACTTTCAGCCAAGATTCTGCTGACATCAGCAATGATATCCCTCATTCCATATCATTTTCTGAGGCAAACTGACTGTTCCTGTAGTTTGCTGTCTCTGTACTGTTGGGATCATTTTCAATAAAATTTTACTTGCATGTGATACTAACGAACTATAAAATATCTTCTCTTCACTTGTAAAGTATAACTTCTTGAGTATTATATTCTTTTAAATAATTGTCTATGTGAGATCAGAGTAACAAATGCAGGTCTAAAAGTTGTATGAGAAATGTAGGAGGTAGTAAGTGTAAGAAGATGGTGCTAGAATAATTTGGAAAAGGATAGCAATGATATTTGCATAATTTGAAGAAAAAAATAAATGTCACTGAACTCTAAGTGTAGGTATTATTGAAAGGGGGTATTTTTGCAATGTATAATTTCACCAAAATTTTTTAAAAGATATTAAAAATTAAAATGCCAATGATATAACATTTAAACAACTCAGAGATAAGACCTGTAAAAACAATTGGAACATTTAAAAACACTGTTAAAATTAAAATTAAAAAAATCACTTCATTTGCATGCGAATGATAATAAGATATATCTTGAAGATACAAAAATATTTTCTTTGGAAATAGTCACTAGGCACGTTAGGTCAAAATTTTGTAAAAACAATATGTCAGTTGTACATCTGTAACATAGTGTAGAGAATTATCTAGAGAGAGTAGTGACATTTTATTTAATATGAACTATAAATATATTAATAATTAGCATAGTGCTAAAAAAGATAGTATAATATGTTCCCAAAATTTGAATATAATATTCACTATTCAAAAGCTTTCAAATATGACAGAAATTTAAATGATTCCTACATATGGCTCTAAGGAGCTCTGGAGGCTCAGTGCCAAAAATATTTGACTGCTAACTGGAAGGTTGGTGGTTCAAATCCACCAACCACTCCATGGAAGGATGACTGGACAAACTATTTCCATAAAGATTTACCTCCTCAGAAACCCAAAAGGGATCACTATAT